GAACTCCAAGAAGGCAGTAAGTAGAGAGAGAGAACAGGTTTTGAATGGTGAACTGGAGCCTTTGAAGTCACAGACATTTATGTGAGCTGTCATCATGTACTGTCATCTAGTACTTAGAATTCTAGAAATTGCTGGGAGTGGACCTCCCCTAAGTGACATCATTTTTTCCTGGTTTGAGCTGAGACCTTATTTCACTTTGAACTGAAGGGCTTGTTTACATTTATTTATTGCTCAGTGTGTCTTAATCTGTAGCATTTCTCCAGTTTCTGTTTGCTGTTTTACTTGGATATGGATATGGGTTTACCTGTTTGCTATTTATGATGGTCTTTTATGTAACTAGTGTTTGATGGGAAGAAGCAAAATAATGAATTTAAGCTCTTTACTTCTTCAGAAAATTTATGTACATATGTATTTAAATAACCAAGGCTTCTCTGAAATATTCCCTGGGAAACAATTCCTAGATACAGCTAGTGGAAAATTATCCATGTCTCAAAAGAAAAGCCCTCCACTATGAGGAAAGAAAATTCAGAACAAAATGTGATTTCTAGAGTGGAAAGTCTTCTTCTGAGATACCAAACAAAATATTTGAGAGTGTGAAGAACAAGTAAGATCCCAGTAGGATTCCAAACTATTGTTCAAAAAACAATTCTTTGAAAATTTGCCTTTCTCTCTGGAATGCATTGAAAATTCTAATGAAAGTCAAGAAGTTAAATAAAACCTGAAACCAACATCACCTGCTTCTTAAAATTGAAAGTGTGGGACTATAGATTAACTTAATCTCCACTAAAGATTGAATGGTCATTGGTATGAACAGCTAATGTTAATAGTCTTCGGCGTAGAATTCTGAGCTCTTCATGTTGACATCATTAAGCACAACCTTTCAGAAAAAGAAAATGGGCAGTCCCTGAGAAAAAATGTAGTATAACCTCAGAATCAAGACTAAAATTTCAAAACCTTTTTTTTTTTAAATAAAATTTCTTGGAAAAGAAACAATCAAGAATCATTATTGTGAACATATTCCTGCAAAAAAAGTCTCTGCATGTAAGTTATCTGTGTGGACTATCTCATCTAGATGTGGCAACCATATCACGGATAGATATGATCTGAGATCCATTTTGTCCCTGAAGAGACTGCATTCATCTTTTGTGAGTAGTACAAAGGCCTGTGGGAGTGGGAGAAGGTCCTAGACCTCTTACTGCTGGAAGATTGCATCTCCAGAGAAATATCAATGAGAATTACATCTATCTGCCACCTCTTAAATATCTCTAAATATACAATATTTAGGAGTTTAGGCCAAAAGCACCTACCTTCCCTGAGGTAGGCCTTAGTTTATATATAATTACCTGCTTACCCCCTTCCCACCAAACACCAGTAACACAAAAGACCACCACAAATAATGAATAACGAGTACTTTTTTTATGCAGACAGACAGTAAATAGAAATTGTAGTTCTACAAATTAAAATATACCAAAGTTCTCTTGCCAGAAGCAAGATAAAATTTCAGCTCGAGTGAGGAAAGAAAATGATTTTACTCAAGGGAGGTCCACTATAAGGTTCTAAAATTATAAGTCCAGGTATTCCAGGAATACAATGGGAGCAGCCGTCATACATATTTGTGCCTGTGAGACCTCCAATCTGCCATTCAAAAATTTCCCTTGCCTGCCTCCCTGGAGCTCCTCTCTCCATTTGTATCTATGAGGTCTCTGCAACAAACTCTTGCTAATCATTCTTTTAGCTAATCAGGAATTATGACTTCTGCTATGTAAACACTATGCAGCACAGGTTTGTCTTCTCAACAAAACTTCCTAGGCTTGGATGAATGCAGGGTTACGTTAGAATTATCAGGGTGCCCTAATAGGTGATAATGTTGCTTCATATGAGAGACTCAATGTACTACCATGATATTTACAGGAAAATATATTTTCATTTATTCTAAGGAGGATAATAGAGTCTGTTGATTTATCTGGGGGAGAGAGGGGGTTGGAGGAAACTTTATTAGAGAGAGCCTTGAAGGAAAAAAAAAGGCAGAATGGTGAATCCTTATAAAAAATTTAATACGTTTTTTAAAGTACCAACCCTAAATACTAGTATAAAATTTGAAGACTTCAAACTTTTTTTTCTTTTTTTCCAGAAACACTCATTTTCCTTTTTGTCCTTTATTCAAATCCTTCATTCAAATCTTTTTAAAGAAAGCTTAAAAAAAGGAAACTGAGAAATGAGTAAGAGGTATAACAACAGTATAAAAGGGGATAGAGGAAAGACCCAGGACAGGGAAGATGAAGCTGAGTGGTACAAAGGAGAAGACTAAGAAATTCACTATCCTCCTTTACTCTCAAATGAAGGGGTAGCTATTTTCTTCAAGGCTAATCATACTTAAGCCTTTGATCTCATCTTCTCCTATCTCCTCTAGCAATTTGCCACTTCAGCCAGTCCACTGAAATTGCTCTCTCCAAAGTTACTAATGATTTAATTGCCAAATCCAGTGGCCTCTTCTCAGCGTTCATTCTCCTTGACTTCTCTGCAACCTTTGACACTGTTGGTCATTCTCTCCAAGACATCCACTCTCTTCTGGTTCTCCTATCTGTCTGACCACTCCTCAAATCTCCTTTGCTAGATCCTCATCCCTCTAACCATAAATATCCCACAAGATTCTGTCCTGGGTCTTCTTCTCCCTGTATACCCTTGGTCGTCTCATCAGCTCCCATGGATTTAATTACCATCTCTTTGTGACAATTCTTAAATCTACCTATTCTGCCCCATCATCTCAGCTGACCTCCTCACTAGCATCCCTGTCTTTCAGACATCTTGAACTTGGATAACCAGTAGACATCTTAAACTCAACATGTCCAAAGTGGAAATCATTATCTTTTCCTCCAAACACTCCTGTGTTCTTTCCCCATCCCCCAACTTTGCTGTTACAGTGGAGAGCAACATCAGTACTACAGGCTCATAATAATTGACTCCTCACTATCACACCTTAATATCCAATCTGGTGCCAAGGCCTGTTAATTTCATCTTTTCAGTATCTCTCAAGTAACCCCCTTGTATCCTCTATAGCAGACACTCCAGGTAATGAGCCTCATTGCAATAGCCTGCTGTTGCTTCAAGTCTTTTCCCTGCCCCAATCCACCCTCCATCCAGTTGCCAAAGTGAGTTTCTTAGAGCACAGAACCAGCCATGTCATCTCTCTACTTAACTCTAGTGACTCCCTATCACCACCAGGTGCCATATAAGATGCCTTATTCCCTGCCACCTACTCTTCATGGCATTGGTCTCCCCCTTGATATTCCACAAACAAGACACTCTCCTTCCTGGCTCTCTGGCTGTTCTCCATGCCTGTCATGTTTTTCCTCCTCATTTCCACTTTTGGCTTCCCTTTAAGTCCCAATTAAAATCCCATTTTATACAGGAATCTTTTCTCAACCCTTCTTAGTTCTAGTACCCTCCTTCATTTAATGATTTGCTTTTTATCCTGTATATAGCTTGTTGTTTTTGTTGTTGTGTGTGTATGTGTATGCTGTGTGCTGTGTGCTGTGTGTAGCTTGTTTGTAGATCTTTGTTGTCTTCCCTGTGAGATTGTGAGCACCTTGAGAGCAGGGTCTATCTCTTTTTTTATATCTCAAGCACTTAACACAGTGCCTGGCACATAGTAGGTGCTTAGTAAATATTTATAGACTAGTAAGACTTGGACCACCTTTATCTAACCTACTGGCACTTTCCGTGATTTTTAGAAATGTACTCAGGTCTCATGGAATCATGGGGCCATAATAAAAAGCTAGTGGCAAATGGTTTTCACCTATACTCTCAGAACCTTGACTTGGCACCTGTCTACCCTGTCAAGCTTTTATATCTACATCCTTTCTAGCTAAACTCTTAAACATTGCTGTCTGTACCCCATTGCTTTTACTACTTTTTTTGCCACTACTTAAGCCCATTCTAATCTGACTTCCAACTCTACTCCGATTGCGAACGGTTTCTTGATTTGTGACGTGCCTGAGTTTCTTGAGCAACCTTCATCTTTCTTGACCTCTTTGAAACATTCGATTCTGTTGGCCATCTTTCCTTCCTTGACATTTTTTCCTCCCTGACCTTCAGTGACACTGTTTTTTTTTTTAGCTCTACCAGTCTGACTGTTCCACCTTCCTTTATTTTTTTTTTCCCTGCATAATTCTCCATGTTCTATCCTGTACCAGTGAAGCTCCTTTCTAAGGTTGTTGTGGGCTCTCCTCTCTCAGTGATCTCATCAGCTCCCAAGAATTCCATTATCTCTGAAGAATACTCTCAAATCTATCTAGCTGTTCCTAAGTCTCTTTCTGAGCTCTAATCCTACATTACCAACTTCCCATTAGATATCTCCACTGGATGATGGCCCACTAGAGGTACCTTCAACTCAGCCTAGCAGACACATAATTTCTTTTCTCCTTCCTCCCATCACTCCAACTCTTATCTTCTTCTTAACCTCTCTGTTTCTATCAAGGACTTGATCCTTCTAGTTAGCCATGTTCATAGTCGAGGAGTCCTTGACTCTCCATGTTGATTTTGTCATATCCAGTCAGCTTCAACATCTCATACCCATCTTTGTCTCTCCAAACGATTGCTACTCTAATTGAGAAACTCGTCACCTCTCATTGGACTATTGTGCACATCTTTCCTCTAGGCCACATTTTTTTCTCCTAGACCCCCAAAATAAATTACAGAGAGAAATTTATTGCCGTAGTTATTTGTGCACACTAAACTAAAAGCATTGACATCATTGTTTGAGAAAAGCAGGGAAAGGGTATGGAGATGGTGTTTTGAATGGAAATCATAAGAAAACTGATTAAATTGGTAATGTCTATAACAACAAAAAAGTGAATTCAATTTGGGGTCTTTCAGGCTTGTTTTTGAATATCATACTTTAATTTGAAAATATTTCCTCCATCTTACAGGCATAACAATATGCATTTATTATTTACTCTTCACCAGTTGCCTCAAAAAGCTTAATCTGTGTTGCATTCCAGATGTTCCATTTAAGCAGACCTCTTCCATAGCAGTAGCTGGAGCAGTCATTGGAGCTGTCCTTGCGCTTTTTATCATTACTATTTTTGTGACTGTGTTGCTGACTCCTCGGAAAAAGAGGCCATCCTATCTTGACAAAGTGTAGGTATTTTTTTTTTTTGCATGTTTTGATTGTGAATAATCAGTATGCATTCAGGAGTTTTAATTTTTGTTGTAAGTATAATCCTTAAATATTTGAGGGAAGACTGTAAAATTAAATTTATATATTTTGACAGATAAAGACATCATGCCTAAATACATTTCGACCTAAACCTCAAAGAAAAAATAAGGGTCCAATTAAGATGAATGCAATGCATACATTTTAACCTAAAGTAAATTGAGTTTCTTTTACTATGGCCACAGAAGAAGGTGCTCCTTCTCCCCCCTCAGTGTGTGTGTGTTTATTGGACTTCTAAAAATAAATGTGAATGTCTTCTAAAATGTGTATTGCTTTAAGTCACAAACATCTTTAACCTTAGTTTTGTGTAACAATTCATATAGCAACCCACTGGGAGCTATTGAAAATTTTAATAGCATCTTTCTTCAGGAGAACTTATTTATTTTTTTATGTGACATGAGGTTACGTTATGGAATTATACATCTCATATATATATATATATATGTTTTAAAAAGCCTTAAAAATTGAGACTCTGACATAATTGACTTTAGCTGAATGATATTTTTTTAATTCCTTTTAAATACAGAAACAAACCAAACATTCTATGTAGAGTGTCATATTGCCGGAAATATGGAATCAGCTCCATATCTTAGCTTTTACTACTTTATCTGTATGACCTACTAGTCATTTAACCTTAACTAGTTTATCTGTGAATTAAGAGAGATTAGATAGTCCTTAATGTCTTCCAGTTCTGTTCTTCTGCTCTCCACCTCTCTGTGGCAGTGAGGTTTTGGGATTGGGGGAGAAGTAGAGGAAGGAAAAGGGAAACTTATCTGTTAAAGGGACAGTAAAATGCCTCATTCAGGCTAGTCCCTATAACATACTTCTAGCTCTTATAAGACCCAGGTCCTTAAGTTTTAGGTCATTTGGTAAGCAGCAAATAATGATGAGTCCTTAAATGCCTGTCTCAATGTAGTGATGCTTGACTAGAATGTTTATACCTCGTGTATATGTTGTGGGACTTCCTAATCTTCAGTTTGCCTTATGATAAGGTAACTTCTGCATCTCAGTAAGGTCTCACATGGAGTCTAAGGAAGTTCTTCATTTTCCCAGTTCTGTCCTTATTAGTATTGTAAATGAGATTTTAGCATGGTCCATTTTTTTTCATGCTTGGACAGCTCTATTCTCTTTGTAACTATCAAATGTTATGTTTCTACAAATCTAAAACAATCTATAAATTTATACATATGACATTTGGTATATTTATCATTCTTTTGCTTTTAAATTATTACTGTAATGATTCTGCAGTTGTTAGTGTACATCCTATATTTCATGTTTATGTTTTTTGTGAAATCCAGCATAAGTACTACAATGTCTAAGACTGGTGTTTTTGGTAAGATTTAAATTTAATTTATTAATTATATATATTTAGATTGTTACTGGTGGTCTTCAGACATTTTGTCTTTTAGTTTGCTTTATTATAGTCAGGTATTTAAAAGTCAAAATAACATTCTAATGTTGCTTGCTTTTAATAAAATTTGCAAAATTATTAAGAGAAGGAATCATTTATTTTTATTAAAATATCTGAGTTTTTTCACCCTATCTTAGAAGGAAGAGTTTCTGTTTCTTTGGAAAGCAGGATTTCCACTTGCCCAGGGCATTGAGAACCTTGATATTTGGGGGACAAGCCAAGATATTTTGAGTTTTCTGCACATATGGAAAGCTTTTTAAAAAAATGTCAACATTGGGGCAGCTAGGTGGTGCAGTGGATAGAGCTCCAGCCTTGGAGTCAGGAGGACCTGAGTTCAGATTTGGCCTCAGACACATGAGACTCAGTAGCTGTGTGACCCTGGACAAATCACTTAACCCTGATTGCCTTGCCAAACAAAAAAAAAAGTCGACATTGAGTATTTTTCTCATCTAGGCATTTAATAAATCTGAAAAATAATTTTGATGATACTGCTTAAGGGAATATCTTGTATCAAACATATGTGTTTGTGTATATGTATATATGTCATATGTCATTAATAGAAAGTTGTAGCATAATTTTTTAAAAAATAAAACTCTACAAACTTTGGGATGTCTATAGTATTATGTACTTGCACCTTTGATATTAACAGCGATATGTGGGTTGATTTAGTTTTGTTTAAGCTCTAATTCAGCTTATTTTCTCAGCTCTGAAGGGTAAATGAAAATGAGTGCTGAATATTAAATATTTCAGACAATTTAAACAGTATCATGGAAATTATGTTTAGAATTATAGGGATCCTCCCCCCCAACTTTCCTTTTGTTTTTATCAAATGTGGCAGTCATATTGTTTATTCTTTTTAATGCAGGATCGATCTTCCACCCACACATAAACCACCTCCTGTGTATGAAGAAAGATCTCTCCCTGTGCCTCAAAATGAAATCACACATCAGGTAGGTTAATGAGCACACTTAAAAATCACCTCAAATAGAGTGCAAAATACCCACTGCCTTATGTAGGTTTGTTTCTTGAAGTTGAATAGTAGTTATATGGCACTTCATAGCTTGTTCATTGCTCTGGAAACTGGGGTAGTGCAAGCCTCTATTTGTCTCTGTTCTTGATGATTAGTGGTATGAACTTTTCTCTTAGGAGTTGGGAAAAATTTGTTTTGAGATGCTTAGAAATAAAATTTTCATTAAAAATATGGTTCTTGATTTATGGAACATTAACAGTAAGAGTATCTATTGGAGTCTAAATTTAAATATTGCTTCCTTTGAAAATGAATGCTATGTTCTCTTGCATAATAATGGGAGATATAGGTTATTCAAAATAAAAAATAAACTCACTGAACCCTGTGTTATGTTCATAAGTTACCTTTGGAAATTTTGGAATAGTTATACTATTAACCTTTAAGAATTTTTCCTGCCATTTCAGTTTTATGGCAAATTCCTTTACTAGAAATCAGATTTGTTTGGGGGAAGGAGTGTCATGGAAGTGGGAGGAAATCCCAATGATACTATATAGGGAGGGATTGTATTAAAAGATACTTAGCTGCTTCCCCATTCCTCTGAGTTGTTCATTTCCTTCACTGTCTGGGACCCCCTGATAAGTTCCAGCTATACTACCTCAATAACGTAAGTTTTTTTTTTGTTTGTTTTGTTTTTTAGAGGATGACTTGACTTGATATATAAATGGTCACCTATCGCTTTTATACAAAGAGACATTACATTCCTTACTCCACATTCCTGGAGGGAGAAAACAAACAAGCAGATATAAACAAAGTTAATAATTAGTTAGGGGTGGTGCTAATGGGCAAAGAGTATTAAACCTGTAATTGAATGGAGGACCTATTAGTGGTAACAGTGAACTTGACAGCAAGTTGAGGAGCCTCACAATAAATATTCAAAGTATCATGTGATTAATTAGGAAATGTAATTTTGGAGCTGGGGATTTTAGGTAGAGATAAGGAAATTTGAACAGCTAGGGAAGAAGCATTCAAGATATGACTTAACAAAAGCACAGAGGTGCTATTATATATTACTGTTCATAGGGAATAGTAAGCTTGAATATTTTAGGGGGAGAGGTTTGCCATGTAGAAGAATAGTGAAAGGTGAAAGTAGAGAAAGATACTGGCTAGAGAAGGTATGCTTCATGGTGCTATGAAAGAAGTCCAAGGACATTTTATTGTCCTCGCTCTGCTATCTACTAACCTTCTGATCTTAGTCAGATTTCTTCACCTTTCCAATACTGTATACTCACCTGTAAAATGAAAGGGTCCAAGGTGTTTTCTAGCTTTAAAACACTGTGATCCTATGATATGCTATATTGAGTGTTAAGTAATGGCTTTAACCTCTTTAGGAGTGTCTGAACTTGAGTGGTGGGTGAAACAATTACCAAGCATTTCAGCATTCTTGAAGCTAAATTAGCAATCAATTTGTAAGATAAAGTATTATGATTCATATATTATAATCTAGTCATAGAATAATTATATGGTTGTTTGTATATTATATTAGTGTTGGGATATCAAAATGCAAACTATATAGTAACTGCCTTTTATCTTTCCAGTTTCTGAGAGATCTGTAAGCACACCTAATTATCACTAGTCATTTTATTGCAGTAGTCCTTGTATATATTGTGTTATGTTTATCTGCTGTGATAGCCCTTGTGATACTTAGCAAAAATGGTTAGAAACGTGCTTATTCTCTGGTGAGGAAACGGTACATGACATAACTGAAAGACACTGATCATCACTCCTGGTACTTGTTCTCAGAGCCAGGCATAAGGACCAGATCGAGACCAGGGACCCAGTACTAGACCACATCAAGTACTAGATGGACCTCTTTTGGAAAATGATCTTTGTCCAGGTCTCAACTACTGTCATTTCTGTTGAAGAGGTATCACCCACTTATTCAGCCACTAATGATTTCCCTAGGGAAAACAGCAGCAGAACTAAATCTTCCTACCTCCATTTAATTATACATCTTAGCAACCAGTACTAGAATACATTCCCTTTTCATTACTAGTGACTCAGGAGCCCTAAGATGCCTAAACCATTCAGGTGCCTTTAATTGTTGGTATTATGTAGAAGAAATTATTCTTAGTGAGTATCATTACTATGTAAAAGTGAAGCTACTTAAGTGACATATCCTGTGAATGGGTTACCCCAAGGCAAAAAGTCTATTAGGTAATTCTAATTCTACTAATTTTGAGGTGAAATACTCTGATTAATAGTAACAGCTATATCAAGGATGTTTAAATATGCCTATCTAATAATATGGACATACTGCTTTGATAATTCAAGATTGGTAATTTCATCCATGTGAGTTGTCTACGTTCTCCACAGAGGCAGGTTTTTGCTCCACCCTCACACATTTACATGCACACACTAATTTGGTAGACACTTTTATATTGATCAGTCTGTTCTTTGTTTTTAGTTAAACTATACCTGTGCTTTTTGCATGTTTGAAAAATCTCTAACTGTTGGGTTAGATTGATGTAGATTATTTCTTCCCTATGACCATATAACACTTAGTGGATCCTTGATTCCAATAGTAAATTTACTTTCTTTACTCTTAAAAATCATAACTCACCCACTCTCATTCTATAATCTTATTCTTTAGGGTGCAGAATGAGACAAACCCCCACCCCACTTCCTTTAAGACATGGTCAATGCAGAAGTCTGTATTGTTTGACTGTACACATTTGTAAAAGGGGTATGGTTTTGTTTCTCTTGCTTTTTTAATGGGAGAAGGTGGGTTGGCAGGGAAGAAGTGAGAAGAGAAAGTAGATATCTTCATGAAAATAAAATTTAATTTAAAAAAAAAATTTTGTCCATGTCTTTCTGTAAAATTTCTGAAGAGAATCTTCTTAATGTGTTGTAAGCTATCATTTGAGTCTATAACATTTAGACTGTCTACTACCCTTCACATTAAGTACATACCCAGTATACCTCCCTTTCTGGTAATTCATGTCTTTATGTCTTTTATGACATTTTTCTCACTTCAGTCATTGGTAATGTTTACTCCTATTTATAAGTTACGTCCATCTTTCTATTTCTGTTTGATTTACCTGAAATTTTGACTCTTTGGTCAAAATTACCGCTCCTTGATTTGTCACCAAGTGAAATAATAGGGAGAATTATCCAATGATATTGTCAGTCATTCATGTCATAACCATTTTCTGTTTATACAGGTAATCATTGGTAATTTGCTACAGCCTACCTAGGCCCACTTTGCATTTCTTCATTGCCCCTTATTTCACCTGCAGTAGTGAGGGGGAAATTCATAATGATTGAAGATGTCATAGATGGTACTAATATAAAATGACTTTCATCAAAAAGACAACAGCAGGTATTAAGTCGCATTCCTTCTTTGTCATTATGGGAAGGGAATAGTCAGGCTTCCACAAACTTTTATAGCTGACCACATTTTAAAAATTATATAGTTGACTCAAAAGTGTAGAGAGTACAAGATCCCACTTTGTCAATGTTTGCTGATTTAAAAAAAAAATTGACTCAGTAGAGAAGAATAAAACCCAGGGACTTTCTTTAAACAGGATGTTTTCTTTGCGTGTATTAAGATTCCTTGATTGATGCAAAGAGATTGAATTAAAGAGATCAATGATTCTCTATACTTATTTCAAAAAAAGCGGGAGAACACATGTCACAGTCATAAATGATGTCCTCTGAAAAATATTGGAAAATATTGGTGTTTAAAAGATGGAAAATGTACTATAATGACAGAAAGCTGTTAAAGATTATCAAAATCATTGCATGGTTTTCCAAATGTGGTCCAACTTGGTCTCCTAGTAACCCTTTGGTCTAGTTCATTGTGTGTGTGTGTCTGTGTGTCTGTGTGTATGTGTGTGTGTGTGTGTGTGTGCGCACATATATGTGTGTAAATACATAGAATTTGTGCATAAAAGTTTAATGTGTGTGTCTGTATTCTTTCCAAGATATATACAAACTTATGCAAAAATTCTTTCTCTGCATATGTGTGTGTACATATAGTGTGTATGTGTTATATACCTATGACCTGTTACTGATATGAGTCATCAATAACCTGAATCTGCTGCTTTTATATAGTAACACCATTAAATCCATTCAGTTATGAGAGTAAACATCTATATTGAGAAGAAGAAAGGATAAAAAGTATTTAAAGATACAGCGTGCAGTTGAAGCAACTCAGTCTTGACCTATTCAAGCAAGGTATTGATTATGGAAAAGATGTAACAGTAATACAAGAAAGAAATGACGTGGATATTGTGACTAACAAATTCATATAGAAGTTGAACAGATATAAGTTAGTTACCATACCAGGGAGACCAAAAGAACCAGAAAGAAAAACTCCCTAAATCAGCAAATACTTGACTTGGGTCAACAGAAAGAGGCACTCAAAGGCAGCACTGGCTTAGGTTATAAACTGATTGTAAAATCTTAGAGGAGAATGATGTGATTTTTATGAGCACTATTAGCTCATAATGAAGCAATGAAGAGTAAAAGTAGTTTAATGAAAGCTTGATAATTGACCCAACTCTGCAAAGTCATTCCTAGAGCATTTAAGGATGAAAATAGAAATAGGACAACAAACAGAAGAAAAATGGAAAAGATTTGTAATGATTTTTATAATTTTCCACCATCAAGAACAGTAGAGCCACTGCATTTGGACTCTAATAGTGCAGCTCTAAGTGGACTTTTAGGAATGGTCTAAAATTGAAGAAAAACATTTGCATTACACCAAATATCCAAAGAAGAGATCAGTGCTGGAGCTGAGATAATCGAAGGAAGAGGAGATACCAAAACTGGATGTGTGTGGAAAGGGTACAGAGGATGAAACCTTGGGCCTAATTACTGTCAAAGTAAGGCAAGCAAAGAAACATTAACAATCACACACACACACACACACACACACACACACATCCATATCAATTTTTTTTTCCTGATCTTTTTTCTGTTGCATCAAAGGCATTTTTGATGACTATGTTAGCAGAGTACAGATGGGCTTTTGTAACAGTATTCTACAGTGGACCAAATCTTTACCATCACACAAATGACAGAGAAATGTAGTGATTACAAGATCTCACTGTGCTTGTTTGTTGATTCTTTAAAAAGAACTTGATTCATTAGACCAATGTACCACTTTAAAAACTCCTCCAGCAGAGAGTCTTCATACATCTACATGTTTAAAAATTCTTTGAAGGATGTGACAGAGGAAACTGTTCAATGACCATTTGATTGTAGAGATCAGGCGAGAGGGAACCATATGTTCGTCAGTTATGTTTGCTACTGTAATGTAGGATATTTGGTGTAGAGCTCAAATTAAAAGAGTTTCTTTATAGATGGATAAGTTCTTCATTTGTGGAAGACAGCATGTTGCATCAGCCCTGGAATATCACTTAACCTCCTTTATCTCTTGCCACTCAAAAATTTGAATCAACTACCCATACTGAAAACAACAAAACAAATCAAGAATGTTCATTTGTCAGATTTGTCATACAGTCTGATAAACAGCCAACAATGTTTGTCCACTAATATACTAATACGAGAAATATGAATAAAAATGGACAATAAACTAGGCCTAGAATTAAACAAGAGGAGGCGGTGAAAAATAGGTTAGATTACCTTTGAGCCATTACAAAGCATTTCTCCCAGAAACCTGTCTATTTAATACCATTATTTTCCTGGGGTTATTGTTATTGGCTATGAGAGTCAGACCTCTCTTGAGGTATTAAAAATGAATATTGCAGAGTGTTCTGCAAGTGTAAAGCTTCTGGTGCGTGTAAGAAGGCTGCAACATAAGGAACTTCAAAGAAGTGGAGTAATGTTATTTGTATGAACAAAAAAGATGATAGGCTATGTACATGGTGAGAACAAGGTATAATAGGTAGACAGCCTGAATATCAGAACTCATGACATAAGGAAAAGTGAAGGCACACACGTTATTTATTATTTATGGCATCCTTGAAGAAGGCATACATATGAAGGAGACCCTTCGTGGTAAATTTATGAGAGTACTTGAACAATAACTGTACCAGATGGACAGAGATGGGTAGTGACCCAACCATATTTCTCAGTAGAGGAAAATAGGGAAATCATTGACTTAATAGTTCAGTTTTAGTATGATCATTCACACATAGAGAGTCAGATGGAAAGGCCGAATGGTTTTTGGATAGAGAACCAGTTCTGAGATCAGGAAAACTTGGATTCCAGTTCTCCTTCAGAAATAACAGGCTAAATGACCCTGAATAAATAACTTAATGTCTTAGTGTCCTCGGGGCAACTGTCTAAAACAGTGTTACAGACACTGTCCCTCTGCATGAGTGGTGGAAGTTTCAACACTGAGAGGTCTCTAAACTGATGAAATCATATCTGGACCAAAATTTTGTGTTTATAGTCAAATCATTAACTTGTTAGAATAAATATAAAAAAATACAAAATTAGAAGAAAATGAGAAGATGTATAGTACACAATTTAAAATTTGGTAACAGCCTATTTAAGCTAGCTGCTAAGGTTGAATAATGCAGCATGGATAAGAATAGGCAGTGATACAGGTTTTCTCCATTCCCTAAGAAGTTTGACTATGTAAATCCATTACTACATTGAGAACAAAAGAGCCTAAAATTCCCTTGACTAATAAACCCTTAATCTCCTTGACAAATGAAAGGAGAAGGAAGCTAAAGATAACACCAGTATAAAAATCACAATCTGAATAGGAAAGGACCTCTAAAGGTCCTGAATAGGAAGGGACCATCTGCTCACATCACCAAAAGTTTATGAAGGGCCTTCTATGTGCCAGGCAATATGCTAGGCATTGTGGGTACAAAAGTAGATGTGGAATAGCCCCAACCCTCCAGAAGCTTATATTCTTAACACGTGGTCATTCAGCCTTTGAAGACTTCCAGTGAGGGGAAACCTTTGGGAAGCAGACCATTTTATTTTTAGATACCACTAATTAGAAATTTTTTCTTCAAATCTAAATTTATCTCTTTTCAACTTCTACCCATTGATCCAGATTTTGCCCTCTGGAGGTTAAGCAGAACAAATCCTCTTTCACTCTTCAGTTTTTTGAATAGTTCAAGGGCTGTTAACTTTTTGTATCATGGATCTCTTTGGTAGTCTGGTAAAGGCCATGGATCCCTTCTCAGAATCATGTTTTTAAATACTTAAGATCAGGTTACAAATGTAACTAATCATGTTGAATGATAGTTTTCAATGTAGACTCCAACTTAAGAACCCCTGAAATAGGTGAAAACTTATCTCATGTTTACTGACCTAAATATTCCTAGTTTCTTCCACTGATTCTCATATAGGACAATTTTGAGACTTAAATACTGTTTTTCTTTGTCTTTCTTCTGGCATTTTCCAATTTATTTGTGTTCTTCAAACATGACACCTAGAAGTTTACACAATACTCTAATACACAAAATCATTTTTCTCTCCTACCCACCATAGTGGCCATTCCCAATGTTTTGGTCCCTCTTCAAACTCATAGGCACCCTTCCTTCACACTCTCAGTTAAGGGCTTTGTCTTATACATTACTGAAAAAAGTGAGGCCATTTGTGGAGACCAGTCACTTTTCCCTTTCTCATCTAGCATCAACTTGGATGTCTTCTCTGCCTGTTCGCTTCACTTTTCTCTTGTGAAGATAGGGCACTTCTTGCCAAAGCATGCCCTTCTACATGCATCCTTGATTCTTTGGTAGATTAAATTAGATAGATCCTCTATCATCCCCACTCTATAATCTTTGGTATCTTCCTATTTACTGGTTTTCCCCCTGCTACCT